CCAGAGAAGAATGAGAACAGGGGAATCAGGAACTTTATCTCCATGAGCCTTGAAGGAAATTGACACTTAAAATCAGTACTCCTTGCCCTAATCCTCTGCCTGCTGGGCACCAAACCGTCTTGCCTGGAGAGAAGAGCGGGAAGAGAGTGGCGCCTGTGTGTGGGCAGGGCTTCGGACCCGTGTGGAGACCCGAAATGGTGGCAGTGAGTGGCAGTGTTGAACAGGTCATGTGGTCTCTGGCCTGCTGCACTGGCCTTCTGGCAAGGTCCCAAGAGACTCCGGCGCATCTCCAAGTCCACCCACCCTCTGAAGTTTCAGTTAGTCACCTCCTGGGCATCAGTATTGTCACTAAACCAGCACAGTTGTCACTGTGCCGAGGCCTCCCTCTTACCACCCAGTGGCAGCTATTTACCCCTCTGAGCAATATGTACGCGTCCTTCGTCTTACAGAAGCTGAAAGGGCAGACTGGAAGGGGAGGGACTGGGTGGATAAGAATACAGTTTTGGATCTTGTTTCAATGGGTGTTTAAAGTAAACTTCCAAGTCAATTAGATCACTCACCACCGGACCAACTATGCTGGTTAGTATGTGGGTGCTTATATGCGGACTTGCTAGTTAGCTGAGCGTCAGAGTAACTGGGCAGCCTTTGTGGTAAGACAAAGTTCCCCGCCTCCGAGGCTCCTGGGAGTCCGCCGGGCACATCCATGTGCTGGTCCAGGCCCTGGCTCACACCCTGGAGGATGGAAGCGAGGAAAAAGCAGGGACTCTGAAGTTCACGCTCCCACTGCCATCCAAAGAAAAGAGAATGCTCTCACCCAAGGACAGAGGTAGCAGGAGGAGGCCTGGCTGTGTCAGAGGTCATTAAAGGCTTGCTACAAAGGTAGCTAGAGCTGGCCTGAGTTGCCTGTGACCGCTGTGAGAATAGCTCCTCTTTCACGCTTAGGAGCCCCACCTCTTGCCTCTGCCTGGAACACTTCCTGGACACCGGCCTGGGCCTTACGGCGAAGCAGAGTGCCTGGCCCCTCTCTCCTGCTTTCTGGCGGTGGACCTCTTCTCAGAGGGCCCTGGCCCTCCTGCCCACAGCTGCTGACCTTGGTGCTGTGGCGCCCTCCATCACTCACCCCAAAGACCTGTTTCCCCCGCCCCCAGGATAATCAGTTCATCCTTGGCTCCAAATTTGAAGGAAACCACGAAGAAACAGGACAAGAGACAGAGCACATAAAGTTCAGAGAACCTGGGGACAACAAAGATGGAGGGAGCGTGGAGATAGAGAGAAGCCATCACAAAGCAATAGGGCATACATGAAGGCGGGAAAGAACCTGGGCTTCAGAGTCAGACAGACCTGGGTCCAAATCTCAGCTCCCCTGCCTACCTATGCCCACAGGCAACTTCAGTCCCAGGTTCTCACCTGTCAAACGGAGTGGGGCGCGACTACAACCTTGGCGGGTTGTTGTGAGGATTAAATAAGGTAAGACGTATGAAAAAAGCATCTGGCGCATGGTATGTGCTCAAGAACAGTTACTTTACCTTCCCTTCTGGACAGTTTCCACGGACAGAAATGTTAGTGTCCCCTCTGAAAGCTCTGCATGGCTACAGCTCTCCATAACTAGGAGGGTCTTCCATATGTCCAACTAACGTTGCCCAGACTTGGCTTTGTCTGCTTCCTGTTGTTGCTCAGCACTCTGTGGGGCAGAGAAAGCTCAGCAAGCCTTTTCAGAAAATCTCTCAGACACTCGGAGAAAGTATTTTGAGTTTTAGCTCCATAGCAACCCACTCTACCTTCAGGCTAGAAAAAGGCACTATTAGGAAGTGGGGTGCAGAAGAGGCCCGAGCTCCGAGTTAGGGCTGTTCGCGGTGCAAACTACACTGGTAAACGCCGCCCAGCTACCTTACGGAGTCTGCCAGACGCTTCGTGATGAGTATGTGCTTTGTGCCAGGCACAGTGCTGTCACGGGCATGCTGTGAGGCAGTTATTGCCACACCTTTCCTTCCCTGCAGTTCCTGGACGGGGAAACTGAGGCTAAAGTTTACACAGCTGGGAAGGTGCAGGGCAGGGAACTGGGCCCGTGTCGGGGCCCGGACCAAACCGCAGTCCTTGTCTAGTCCGCGAGGAGGCAGAGCCTCAGGCTCCACGAGAAGCAGCATTGCTCTGAGACCTGAGGGATCAGCTTTGGGATGTGGGGTTCTGACACAGCTGTGGAAGAAGGCCGTGCGGTGTCCCCTCCACCACCTGGCTCCCCTCTGGGAGCAGGGACCCTGAACACGCACGGGAAGGCGGACTCCTTCAGTCTTTCTACAACGCCGCCACATCCACTCTCGCTTTGTTTGGGAAGTAGAAGCATGTGCTGCTTTATGAGCAATAGTAAGAAATGGGTACCTACAAATATATGAATTAAAATTTTCTTTAGGACAAGCTGAAAAGCCCCATGTGTCCAGGGCCCTAATGAGATGGAAGCAGGTGTGTGTGCTGCTACCTGGCAGACAGCGGGGTCCAAGGCTAGTTTCTCCCCCGGGGACAGGGAACACCCCAATGGCCACATCTCGGTTATGTCCTTGTCCAGAGAGACAGCTCTGGGCGTTCTCCCTGAAAGGACAGCCTCTCCTCTGGGGCCGAGGGCAAAGCTTCTATTTGAATTATGAAAATGAACACTTACAAGTAAGGACCAATGTATGAAATTCGTCAAGTGGTGAAGTGTTAGCATATATATTAGAATAAAAAAAAGAACAATGCAGGTCTCCAGAACTGTGATTACTATGTAGGACTCATGGGCTTCTGCGGTGAGGAAACACGCGGCTGATCCTATGAGAAGACCCTGCGGTGAAACAAAAGAAATATTTTTTTTAAATATCTGATTTTTATTTTTGTTTTTTTTAAAGATTTTATTTATTTATTTTTAGAGAGGGAAGGGAGGGGGGGAGAGAGAGAGAGAGAGAGAGAGAGAGAGAGAGAAAGAAACATCAATGTGCAGTTGCTGGGGGCCATAGCCTGCAACCCAGGCATGTGCCCTGACTGGGAATTGAACCTGCAATGCTTGGTTTCCAGCCTGCGCTCAGTCCACTGAGCTACACCAGCCAGGGGAGAAAGATTTTGTTTTAATGCGCGTGGGTTATTAAAAAGGAACATAAACTGTCAGAATGCAAATGTGATTGTATTGAAACTGTATTGTTTTGCACATACATTTTACTCTGAATTTTAAAAATATTTTTAAGAGATGATATGATGCATGCAAATAATGAAAACGCACACAATTTAGAAGGATAAAACATAACATCAGTTTATGTTCTTTCTCCTCTCTGAACCCAACCCTAGTCTGTCTCCTTAAAAGTAACCACTGTTAACAGTATATGTTTTATGCCAGGAAGAAGTATGTATATACAATTAGAGTGAGTATATATGGATTTTGACGGAGTGAGGGAGAGAGCCAGCTTTCTTCCTTCCCAAATAGCTGCTGATGATCCCAACGCCATTTATTGGGAAACACCAGTATTTTCCCCACTGATGTAATACCCGGTCTATTTTATATACTAACTTCTCAGGTGGATTTGGGTCTTTTTTGAGACTGTTCGTTCCCATTGATTAGATGATTACTTCTCTAGTACTTTGGAAATTACAAGAAATTTGTTTTATATCATATACTCTGATCTGGATCCCCTTTCTATACTCATTCTCAGATTGTTTATGCGTTCCATGCTTGTTTTGGTCAAATTCTCCAAACTAAGACTTTCGGGTATTTTCATTGGGATTTCATTTAATTTATAATCTGGAAAAGACAACATTGGGTCTTACTATTCAAGAACAAAGTATGTCTTTCCAGTTATTTTAGTGGTTTTTATTTCCCACTGTGTGGGAGAGGAACGAGGGGAGAGGTGGGGAAAAGATGAGGCAGAACGAGGGGGACCGGCAAAGGGGACTCGGGGAGCTGTCCGCTGGCTGAGGCCACAACCGCCCTGCCCTCGCCCAGCACCTGCCCAGCCAGGTCACCGGTTCTCTCTGCTCACCAGCCTCAGGATCTTCAACACTCCCGTGGGCGAGAAGAAAAAATGCTTGATGCTGTCCCTGAATTTGGACGGGACTTTGGCCCGGCCCGCCGCACGGTTTCGGATAGCCTCCTTCTCTGATTGACTCAGGGCCCCTGGTTCAGGGGCCTTCGGCAGTAGTGGAGCTGTGGACTTCTGTGAGGGCGCGGTTTGCACACTGGGTTCCGGGTGCCCAGGGCGTGGGGGCTTCCCTGGATGTTTGGGCTTCGCTGGACGCTGTGCTGTGTGTGCGCCGCGCCCAGGATGCCCGGAGGCGGGAGGCCGGGAGGCGGGAGGCCGGGAGGCGGGAGGCCCGGAGGCGGGAGGCCCGGAGGGGGGAGGCCCGGAGGCGGGAGGCCCGGAGGCGGGTTGCTCGGAGGCAGGAGGCCCCTTGGGTACTGGCTGCGTCGGGGGAGGTCCCTGGGATGGCAAGTCCCCTAAAGGTTCCTTGGAGTCGTTAGACTGCATGGTGGATCCAGGCCTGGCTATGTCAGGCTAACCCTGCGCCCCTGACCCTGCACGGTGGCAGCAGGCCCTCCCCGGTCACCAGCGTTGCGCCCCAACGGCTGCTGGCTGTCGGCTGCCCTGCCTCGCGCGCTCCCAGCTCTCCTTGCCCGAGGACAAACCATGCTCTTCAGCCACCTTCCTCGCCACCTGAGGGGAGCAGTAGCCTAGCCTGAGAACTCAGAGTGCACCGCCCCCCCTCACCCCACTCCAGTGCGGCCAGCCAACTAGCCAGGAATGGGGCTCCGAAGACCATTTAGAGTAGTCCCAGCTCCTCCGCCGCCCGGATAACCGGACTGATCCCGTCTAGCACGCGCAGCGCTCGGTGGAAGTTACAGTACGGGTGGACCCTGGGCTCAGAATTCCTACATCTCTCCCTCCCGCCCGCATATTGAGATGAAAAGGGAAACAACTGCAGAAGCCATGTGGGAGAACAAAGAGATAGGTTTAATATGAAAAAGGAATATGAAAGTACAAAACTTATATTTTTTCATGAACAGCTTTTTTCTGATAAGGACCACTTGGATTAAATAGAAGCTTCCTGTAAATAAGAACCGCGTCGGCAATGGAGCACACCACGGTCAGGAGTCCAAACACCTGGAAACAAAGACACAGTGTCACTGTTGTGGCAGTCATCTGGACTTCCGCCCTTCACACCGGTTTTTCTTTCTTTTTTTCTTTTTCTTTTTTTTTTAGTGGTCTGCCCACTGGTTTCCTCGCCAGCCAGGGTTCTGGGATTGCTCCCTGCTGAGCCACCTAGTGCTAAAAATGGGAAGAGACCTCAGAGATCATTTTATTCTCACTCCCAAGTTTTCCCAATGCCTGCCTAGAGAAAGGGAAAACATAATTGAGTGAGGAATAACATCGGATTGGTGTGGACTCGGAAATAAATACTGGTCTGGATCTCTTGACTAGCTCCTGGAAAGTATTGTTGAAAGGCCTACTGATGATATTTCCAATTATCAGTCTACGTTTCTATCTCCAGTGTCCCACGGTTTACTTTCCTGCTGCAAACTCTGCTGGAAAAAGGGTCCAAGTTAACACCAGCTCAAGGTTCAACCATGGCGATAGTAGCTGTGATGAAAACTTTGGAGAGCTGGAGTGATACAATACTTCAAAGTGATCTTTCAAAGGCTGGGGGCCATCCATGTAAGGGGTGGGACTCCACATAGGCCTTAAAGAAGTAAAATTAACATCAAGGGAATAAACTGGAACATGGTCTTTAGGCAGTGAGACCCAGTGCCAGGGCTGGAGAAGGGGGACGTCCTGCCCTGCATGCGTGCTGTGTGCTCAGCTCCATCTAAAGGCCTGGAAGTCTGGCTTCGTGGCTCCAGACACAGCCTCTCTTCCACCCTGCATCTCAAGTGTGGCTTCTTAGGTTCTGACCACACTTAGTACCTCCTGCCTCTCCTTTCATGGCTCCGGTACCCTGCATGTTCCTGGTCCCTCCACCTGGAACCCATGCCCCCTGTTCCCTCTGCTCCTGGCAAACTTTGATTCCACTGCCAGAGAGGAGTTGCTTTCTTTTTTCTGTGCCCAGTCCTCTGTCGTCAGCTCACAGACAGCTGTTTGCACTTTCGTTTCCTACTTAGGCTCTACACAACTTGAGGAGAGGGCTCCCAGTCTAGTCCAGTGCCGTCCAGAAGAAATACAGTGTGAGTCACCAGTGTAAGGAAGTCACAGAATTAATTTAAAATTTCCTAATAGCCACATTAAAACATAAACAAAAAATAGTGAAATGAATTGTAATAATATATTTTATTTAGCCCCATATACCCAAAATATTATTTTAACATGTTATCAGTATAATGAAGTTATTAATGAAATTTATACATCCTCTTTAAAAACAGGGTAGTAAGTCTGTAATATCCAGTGTGCATTTTATAGGTACAGCTCATTGCAACACTGATTAGTCACACACATTTCCAGTCCTCAGCAGCCACCTGCGACCAGTGGCTGCAGCACTGGACAGCACAGCTCTGTACTTTGTCAGCCCCTGCTACAGTGCACTTGAAGAATAAGTGAATGAATGAATGAATGAATGAATAAGTGAATGAGAGTAAATCCTGTGCCTGGTCCCTTTTTCTCTATAGCAGAGGTTAGACTTATCTTTAAAGACCAGTGGGGAACATTGCTGTTACAGCACTGTCTCATTTCCAGAATAATTCCCACCCCTCATGAGGCTGCTTCGGGCCCAATAGGGGAGATGAAAAGCCATGGATTCTGACATGCGCGGCTGTCTGAGAGGGATCAGTTCTAAGTGGTCCATGCTACAAAAAGATGAGGAAGTAGGGGAGAGATTTATTTAAGAACTTTCTAGTGTACTTCTCTGGATCAGAACCTAGAAAAGCCAAATAATTTTGGACTTCCTATAAGAAATCTCAGAAGAATATCAGGTGGGACTCTTTCAACTACATTACTTGACACTTTTTCCTTTGGCTGGCTTTCCAGGATAAAGTCTGATTAAACTGAGTTTTGTCTCAGCAAGCAGTGTTCAACATGATCCTTTAGTCACAAGGCCTCCCACCACCATTCCCTTGTCACGAGATGTTATATTCCCTCTGAAAAAGGATCTGGACAAGAGATACCTGGGCTCAGTATGGTCTGCCTCACCTTAACGAGTGGTATGTTGTTTTGTTTGTTTGTTTGTTTGTTTTTAAGGGGGAGCTATGCAACTCATTCATGGTTGTTGCTTCACATCAGGTTTCTCAGAGCCAAGTATTGCAACTGATTTTGGTAGCCTTTCTCACTCTGTGTTTTTGTGGTCTAGTCTAGCCCTGTATACCTACGAGAAATACATAGGAGCCTCTTTATTTGGTTGATTTCATATTAGTTTTAGTGTGAACGCATATTCCTTCATGTTAATCAGGGCATGTATTCATACAAAAAAGTATTAAGCCATTGGGTACCATATCCTGGCCTAGGAGACCCAAGGATGAATACAGCATAGTTTTCTGTTCCTGTATCTATTTCCAGATAAATTTGAATTCTGATCAACCCTAAAGGAAGAAGCCAGAAGGGCTGCCACTTACCCCTCCAAGGAGTATGAATGTTGTGGTTTCTGGTAACAGTGCCAACACCGATATGATCATCATGAATATTGCTGTCACGAATGAGTTGATGATATCCTGAAAACACATAATAGGACAGTCAGCTTTACATGAAGATCACACAAAGAGTCCCCTAAAGGCTTTAAAAGTTCAATTTTATTAAAAAAATTTATTGTGTATATTTTAGGAAGCCAAACCACCACAGTAAAATAACACCTATATTGTGTTTGGTCTACAAGGATGCCTAGCAGTGTTCTTAACCTATAATGCACCAATCATGTAACTACTTAACAGGCTTATTTTTTTCCCCTTAGATGTAGTTGGAGGGAACTCATCTGGTTAGGAGTGGACGATGGGACTGTGGAAGGTTTGAGGTGGAATGGTAGGCACACTGGGAAGGCAGGATGCTCAACTGTAGTAACGTAAGAGGAAGCGTGAAGTAGTCTGCGCTGCAAATCAGACAGGTTTGTAATGTTACGAAAATGCAATGAAGAAAACCAAAAGCAGTAAAAACTTAGGAGGAAGTGGTAATTTTTAGGAAGAAACTCCCGCATATCTATATGCAATGGCTGGCCAATGATGGTGTTATTTCTGACGATGTCCACCATCTCCTTACTGGAATCCTTGGAATAATTCAGCTCAGGCCTTTCTGCCACTAAATGCTGTTATGGACTCTGAGGGTCAGCGGACAAAGGCTTTGTCATCTGTTCTCCCAGACTTCCCTCTAGTCAGGTTCTGGTCTAAAGTGTAGATCAAGTGGGAGTTTGGAGAGGTGCTATGACGATCCTCTCTAATTCCAAGCTTTACCCTTTTGGGGTTTCTCAGCTTGTAATTAGCCTGAAATGCTCATTTTTGGCCTTTGAAGGTGGTTCTAGAAGGTACCACTCTAAGGCACGCTTATGGTTACAGAATAGCTGTAACGTTCTCTTTCTTTCATAGGGGTTATCAGCTTGGGTACCAGCACGTTCAGAGGATGACACGGATGCAGCAGAAGGTCTTCGGAGGGAGATCTAAGGAGCTACGATGCTGAGGATAAGACTTGAAAGAGGAGAGAGAGCTGAAGTCACTCACTCCTAGAACCAGCTTGTCATCCAGGCTGAAGGGCCGTGTTCACCTTAATATCTCCAGGTTGCCTATTTGGAGAGTTTACAGAACCATCTGGGCAGCCCACTGGGCAGTTACTCCTAACGTTATGAATATGGCAGATGAAATCCATATGCTACCAAATAAGGCTCTACGAGGTGAGTTAAAAATTGCTTAGCATTAATAATTGCAGGCAGTTTTAAGTAAGGCAATGTAGTGTTTTATTGAGCCTCCCAAAGTATTTTGATTTTCCATTTAGTGATCGGGGATGTGCAAGATACAGATACTGTGTATCTGCCGCTATCTCTGTCCCCCAATTCTGAGACCATATCAACATGCATTTAACAGGGAGCAAAAGGTTAACAATATTATCTATAATTAGTCATGATCTTCACTTTAAGTTCCTTTAGAAGATCTATACTTAGGTGAATTCTTCTAACAGAAGGGTCAGCCACATCAACTTGCAGATGGTGCTCAAGGGAGAATTTCTGCTCTGCAATTGCTCTGGTCCCCTGAGAATCTCTCTCGGGCACTTTACAGAGCGCATTACCAGTGGGTCGAGTTCCTTCTTCCTGTGCCTATCAGAGATCCTTACTGGCTTAAGAAAACTAAAGAATAGAGTTTATTAAGATGTCTCACTATGGCAGGAAAAAGTAGTTAATTTTAACAATGAAACTGAACACTTACAAGCAAAGGCCAAAACATACAGTCCATTAACCGATCAAGCCTGAGCATATATAAAAGTATGAAAAAGAAGATCACGGTGACTTCGAATCCAGTGACAACAAGGTATGGTTCGGGGGCTTGTGAGATGATAAAAAAGGTCATAGATGTAACAGTGACTGCCTGTAAGGGAAAACAACATGATTTATCAATGATCATTGAATACAAGTTTAAGCTGTAACAATGATCATTTCAAAGTTAGCTCAATAAACCAGTTTCTGCCACATACATCTAAAAGAGGCGTGGCTAAAATGTATGCATGTGTATGACAGAAGCTGTTTACCTATTTAACATTCTCACTAAGGGCTTGTCTTTGCCTGCTACTTTTGCTTTCTGAGAATGTACTACCTTCCCATGTGGCCATTTAATTTTGGGAACTCTCGCAATATAAAATTCTTCCTCAGATTAACCAGAGCTGTTTCCCTGTAACTTTTAACTATTTCCACCCCCTCTCCCACTTGTCACTTCTTTAACATTTAAAAATTATTTTTCCCCTCCCTCTTTCTCTTGAATTCCTTCAACGTATTCTCCTACGGTAGTTGCCACTTTTCTAACTAGGCAGGTCAGCGTTCCCCAAATGATGATTCATTCTCCTCAAACGCCTGTTCAGAACTGACTGCAATGCTCCTGGTAGGCAGGAGGCTCCAGGGACGGGCCATGCCATATAGTCTTGGCTCTGAGCTGTATCAGCCTTGAGCTCAGTCCCTTCTGACTATAGTAAGTAAACACAGCATCCACCGGAGTCTTCTTATTTTGTTGGCCTCTGCAGCTGCCAATTGGTACAACTGCAGCTGCCTTACCTGGGTACCTGGTTTTGGGTCCAACTGTAGGCCACTCAGATAAATATGCTGATTTTGCTTTACGTTTGTGTGAAGTCCCCAAAGGTGAGGACAGTGCCTTATTTCTCTCCTTCCCTCTGGGTTCAGAGCGAGATGCCTTGCCTCTGGGGCGGCCTTGATACGAACAAGGTTCGAAGAGAGGACAGGGCATTCTACTTCCTACTTTATACCCCTCTCACTGCCCTCATCACGCTTGCACACTGCCCCCACCACGCAGCTGGCCCTCACCAGCCGCAGTATCTTCACGTGGCCTTTCACGCTACAGCAGAAAGGGCGATGCTTCAGCTTCTCGGCCTGCATCGCGCTCGCAGAGTCAGCAACTGCACTAGCCCTTCAGCTTCCCACCCCACCACACCCCGCCTCACGGCCTCACGCAGCTGCTGCAACGGCTGCAGCTGCCTCGCACCCCCACCCCTCCCTTTCGGCTCGGCTTCCCCTTCCCGCCCTCATGTGCGCATGCGCTTGTCTTTGCTGCCCGCACTAAAATGCGAGCGCCTGGGGCTGGTGACCCTCAGCAGACAGCTGGAGTTAGTAGGCCAGCGCCGGGTGCCCGCCCCGCCCCGCCCCAAAGACAACCTCCAGCTCTCCATTGTAACATTCTTAGCAGGAAGCGCTCCAGGAATGGTCATCCTGCCACTCCAGACTTTGGACATCTCAAATGCCACCTCCTTGGTTACTCTGTCTGGAGTAGCCACCATCACTCTCCTCTCCTAACATTTACCACTAGCTGGTATGTACATATCTTAAGAATATAAATTGCACAAAAACAAGGGACCGCCAGTGTGCTTCTTTCCCTGCAGGGTCCCCAGGGTCTGGCACAGGGCAGATATAGAATATGCGTAGTCTGAACTCATGGGCTAGGGCTCGTACCTTGGCCCGGCGCCCAGGGGATCGCGGCCTGGGTTTGTAAGCCTGTTCGTTCTGCACATTTGTGTTGTGGCCTCTCACTCACTGGTGCTGATTCTTCCATAGAACAGCCTGTGGCCCTGCAGACACTCAGTTCAACTCCTGTTTGTCACTAGGGCTCCTGTGGAGCCTAGTCACCATCTTGGAGCCCCCCCCCCCTTTTTTTTAGGGATATGAAGTATGTGTGGCTCCTTTTATTTTTTGCTTATTTTATTTTATTTTTATCCTCACCCGAGGACATTTTAAAATTGCTTTTAGAGAGAGAGGGAGGGAGAGAGATAAACATCAATTGGTTGCCTCACATATGCTCCCAGACAGGGATCCTAGGTGCCCAGACGGGAAATCGAACCCACAACCCATGGGCTATGGGATGATGGCGCTCCAACCAACTCAGCCACACCGGCCAGGGTGCGTGGCTACATTTATGTGATTTAAATTCTGTCTTGGATAATTTGGCCATCATCCCCCGCCCCACCATTCAGACCTCTTAGATCCTGTATGTCTCATCTTCAGTCCATTTCATTCAGTCAAATCTGATCAGCAAGTACCTCTGACAGCCTCATCTCAAATCACTTGCGGAAATCTGTGAACTGTATCCTTACGTTTGTTCATGGAAGACACGGACTTGCCATCCATGTGATATGATAGGTCTGTGGCAGATATTACAGGAAGCACAAGGCAGGCTTGCGGGTTTCCGATAACAGGTACAGAGGCTGAGCGAACCCTGTCCCAGATGACTTCCTTTTCTCTGCCCGCCAGGTGGCTTCTAGCATGTTGCCCTCCTTGGGAGAGCTGGGAAACCCCTCCAGCCAAGCACTGGGGTGGGCACCCGCACACACAGTCACTGCTCCTCACTGCAATAGCTTAGGTTGCGGGGCCTGGGCTTCTTCTACCTCACACCTGGGCTGATGTTTTGCTACCTGGCTATGGATGGGTTTTACAGGCTTCCTCCCCACCTCCTACTTGTCTGTCCAATATTAAAAAGTTTAAGAGTTTATTTGAGCCCTGACCGGTGTGGCTTCGGCTTTGCCTTCCCGCAAAGTGAAGGGTCGCCAGTTCCACTCCCAATCATGTAGCACATGCCTGGGTTGCGGGCTGTCCCCAGTTGGAGTGTGAGCAAGAGGCAACCAGTCAATGTGTTTCTCTCATACACTGATGTTTCTCTCCCTTGCCTTTTCTAAAGGTAAATAGTAAACAAAGTCTTTTTTTCAAAGAGTTCATTTGAGCAGAAATCTATTTGAACAGGGTGGCATCTAGTCTAGCAGATAGAAAGGAATTCCTTGGATCTGTACAAAAGGGGAGATTTTTATAGGCAGTAGGGAGCAGAAACAAGGAAGTTATATTAGGCAAGAAAGTTGGTTATTATTTAATATATATTTTATTGTTTATGCTATTATAGTTGTCCCATTTCCCGCCCTCCTTTATTCCCCTCTGCCCTGCACACCCCCTCCCACCCACATTCCCCCACTTTAGTTCATGTCCATGGGTCATACATATAAGTTCCTTGGCTTCTATATCTCCTACACTATTCTTATCCTCCCCCTGTCTAGTTTCTACCTACCATTTATGCTACTCATTCCCTCTACCTTTTCCCCCTCTATGCCCCATCCACTCTCCCACTGATAACTTTCCATGTGATCTCCTTTCCGTGATTCTGTTCCTGTTCTAGTTGTTTGCTTAGCTAGTTTTTGTTTTTGTTTCTTGTATCAGTGAGTCTGTTTTGTTTGTTCTTTCATTTTATATTTCACCCGTAGGTGAAATCATATTGCATTTGTCTTTCTGTGTCCAACTACTTCACTTAGTGAAATATCTTCTAGGTCCATCCATGTTCTCACAGTTGGCAAGATTTCATTCTTTTTTTAATAATTGAGCAATATGCCATTGTGCATGTGTGTGTGTGTAACATCTTTATCCACCCATTTATTGATGGACACTTAGGTTGCTTCCATATCTTGGCTATTGTAAATAATGCTCCAATGAACATAGGGGTGCATTTATCTTTTCAAATTAGTGTTTTTGTTTTCTTCATATAAATATCTAGAAGTGGATGGCTGCATCATATGGTAGTTCTATTTTTAATTTTTTGAGGAAATTCCATACGGTTTTCTATGGTGGCTGCATCATTTCACATTCCCACCAGCAATGTACAAGGGTTTCCTTTCCTCCATGTGCTCACCAACACTTGTTATTTATTGTGTTTTTGACAATAGGCCATTCTGACAGGTGTGAAGTGATATCTCTGTGTGGTTTTGATTTACATTTCCTTGATAATCGGTGATGTTGAGCTTCTTTTCATGTGCCCATTGGCCATGTGTACCTCTTCTTTGGAAAAATGTCTGTTCAAGTCCTCTGCCCATTTTTTAATCAGGTTTCTTTTCTTGATAGTAAGCGGTATAAATTCTTTATATTTTTTGATCAGGTTTCTTTTTCGATAGTAAGCTGTATAAGTTCTTTATATTTTTTGGACACTAACCCATTATTGTATGTATAATTTGCAAATATCTTCTCCCATTCCATAGGCTGCCTTTTGCTGTGTTGATGGTTTCTTTCACTGTGCAAGATCATTTAAGTTTGATGTAATTCCACTTGTTTATTTTTACCTTTGTTGCCCTTGCCTGAGGAGACTGGTTTAAGAAAATATTTCCAAGACAGATGTCAAATAATTTACTGCTTATATTTTCTTCTAGGCATTTTATGATTTTGGGTCTTACGTTCAAGTCCTTAGTACATTTTGAACTTATTTTGGTATATAGTGTAAGATAGTCAGGAGCATTCTTTTGCATGTAAATATTCAATTTTCCCAACACCATTTATTGAAAAGACTGTCTTCTCCCAATTTTACATCTTGCCTCCTTTGTCATTCAGTAATTGACCATATATGCACTAGTTATTTCTGGGCCTTCCATTCTACTCTATTGATCTATGGGTCTGTTTTCATGCCAGTACCATACTGTTTGAATTACTGTAGATTTGTAGTATAGTTTGAAATCAGGGAGCTATTAAAATTTTAGGATTCTTTGTTGTCGTCGTGTGTGTGTGTGTATTTAAACACCTTCCTGAGAGATCTAGTGCTTTTACAGTCCAGAATCTGGATATGTCCAAGTTAAGAGGAGAGTGTGCAGGCTGTGAAGCAGGATAGATGGGCTTGAATCACCTCCACTACATAATGAACATTTCTGATAAATTAAACAAGTTGTCTAAGTTTCTAATGGTCAGCCCAGCTTGGAAAATGGGAGTGACAATATCCACTCGCAGGGTTCTTGGAAAGAATAAATTACACCGTGCGTGCCTAGCTAGAACAGGTGCTCAATTAAGTAATCTCCAATAATTATTGACCAGTCAGTTGCCGTTATTATTGGCCATCTATCCTCCAGTCTTGACAAGTCCTGGGTTAATTCTGCCAGTATCCCGTTAGCGGGAAGACCTCCTGGCTAAAATTAGCGAATCCCTCGCCTTGGATTATTTCCCTCTCTGAGATGAAGTGAAATGCTACCGTGTCTCTTTAAGAGCCCAGCCCCAGCAGGCGCCCCTCCTAGACCTACGCGGGGAATGGAGGCGGACCGTAGAATCCGTCCAGCAGCGGCTGCTGAATCCGCTGAGTCGCACTAGTTTTTACCAGAAGGAACCCGCGACTGGCCGGATCCGTCCGCGGGGCCATGCTTCTGCGGCAGCTGAGAAGCTGGGCCGCCCGAGCGCTGCAAGGGGAGGGCCCCGGGAACCCCAGCTGGGGCGGAGGGCTGCGAGAGATGCAGCGCCGGGCCTGGCTTCAAGGTAACGTCCCTGGGTACTACCTCGCCGGCAACCGGCGCGGCTTACGCGTTAGCGTTCTGCTGTCTCCGCCCCACTCCCCTTCCAGGGCGCCTGGGACCCGCCAGAACCCGAAATCCCTCCGCCGAAGGGTTGGGGGATTATTCCAGGTGGCCACCGGAAGGGGCGGGGACAGCCACTGGCGCGTGTGCCAGTGGAGAGCCCGCAGCGAGCCAGTGACGCCTTGGGGCTCCCGGCTCTTCTCTTATTCGGAGTTAGGAAGCCTTCTAAAGAGCAGAAAAAAACCCACTTCCCATGGGTGGGGGCTGCTCCAGGCCCCCCATCCATCTCCTGGTCTGATTCTTTTGGCCTAAGGGGAGATGGGGGCTGGGAGCTGCAGATAAACAGCCCCCCCAACGGGTGGCAGGGGTTTAGGTTGGGTGCTCTACCTCTCCCACAGCTGGTGAAGGCCCTCCCCTTCACAAACAGGAACCACTGTCGCAGCCAGGTTCTTTGGCCTCGGGCTGTGGGGTGGAGCCCTAGAGCCCGGTGTGAGGTGGGTGGGACTCGCTGTCAGCCTTGGGCCTACAGGAGAAGCCTGAGCCCTGGGCAGAAACCCAAGACCAGGGCCAACTCTTACCCATGCACTGCGAGTGGAGGCCACTCTGCCTTTTCC